GCCTCTGACACACATCGGTCTCATTCGCGAACACTTGGCTAATGACAGTTCCGTACCTCCCAGCTTGACTTCTTTTCTCTCCACTCTGTCGTATTCCACTTCTTCCGAGTCGCCGATAACGTAAACAAACTTTTCGTGGGGTCGCGCGTGCGCGCGATGACCTGATGCGAAGCCGAACCGCGTTCGAAACGGAGAGAGAAGAAAAAGAGAGAAAAAAAAAGAACGAAGTTCCGAGCTCGCGTCGCGCACGATTTAGGTTAGAAGCACACTGACAGGAAAAGCGCGGGCAATCAGGTGCGCGTCAGTTGGTTGGTCGAAGCGATGTAAGAAAAAGTTGTTGGGTGCGACAAACCGACGGCCCTACAGTTCCCACACGCGCACAATCGGTAACTGTTCAGTTTCACGAGCGATCGGAGGTAACGTCGAATAACCGAGCGCGATACCGCGCGCAAAAGTGACTCGAGAGCGAGCCCGAAATCGTCCGGTCGGCGCGTAGCGATGCGCAGCCGTGGTACACAACCGTCGGGCCGCGGGAAATTCAGGAAGCTCGCGCGCCGCTGTGATTACACACCGTTGGTGTATCGGTCTCTTTTCCTTCTCGAAGTTCGGCAGCTCTCTCCTTCGAGTCCTTTCTCCGGCCGCCGGAGGGAGGTTCGCGGCGACGACGGGGGAAAGAAGAGGACGACGTGTTTGTGTTGACACAGACACAAGGCGTACGGAGAGCCTTTTGGCCGAATGCGCGAAGGAACACTGAACGTAACGCGCGAGCGGCGAGCCACAGTTTGCCTAGCCTAGCCGCCACTAAACGCCACTATCCTAGGTTAGACACGCTCGCGACACTCTCTGTCCTCCCCCTCCGGCTCGCCGTTCCCCCCCCTGCCATTCCACTCCTTCTAGCTCGCGCTTCTTCTTCCTCTTTCGCGTCAACAGTTTTACTCTCGCTCTATCTCTGTGTCTCTCTCTCTCTCTCTCTCTCTCGCGCGCGCGCGTTCCCTCTCGTCCGTCTCGTTCTCGCCTACGCGAGATCTTCCGTCTTTCTCCGACTCTAGGGATCTATGTACATAGAATACCGGGGGGGTACGGTACACACGCCGGTGTGGATTCGGAGCGGTTTGTTGGTGGGGGCTCGTAAGGCCATAGCCACGGCCACCGAGCCTCGCACACACTCTCGCAAATACAGCAGGCGCATGCACGCACGTATACACACGTCGCGAGTAGGCACACACCGGCCCCGGAACGACCGTTGTCGCTCCGTATCTCGCGTGCGCTGGCTCGCCAGCGCGCTCACGATTCCTCTAGCCTCTCTCTAGAGGCGAGCGGCTTCGCCGATCTCGTGTATCGTCCTGTGTATCGTTGTCGCACGGAAGCATTTCGTGGGACTATTTTATAACAGTCGGCTAACGAGAAAGTGGAATCGCCTTTCTTCTCACCGCTCCGTTGGTTGAGCGTTGACGAAGCGAGATCTTTTCGTCGAATATACGAAAAAAAAAAAGAAAAGAAAAGAGAATTGCCGAAGAGGAAATTTGAATCGAGAGTATCTAAACATATGGAAAATATACGATCAGTCAGGTCAGCTCTGAAGGCGATATCGTCTCTGTGCCACGGATATAAGTAGCTATGCACGTACGTACGTACGTGTATACAAGCGAGAAATTCAGACCGAGCTCAAAGAGAATACGTACATTCCGTATACGTATGTGTAATTTGTTCTATATTCAAGGGGCACTTTGGCGCACATATGCGTGCCTATCTGGCGTACATACGTCGGAATATGTCTTCATGGACGCGAGGGTGTACAAGAATGTAACCACCGTGCGACTGAATGCAACAAGAGGCGCGCAATGTCTTCCTCCATCGATGTCCGTTCTCTCTAAGTACGTGCAGAACACGTTGGCATTCGAATGACTATTTACATGTCTCGTTGTCCCAACGGAACGGAGCAGAACGCTTCATCGAAATCCGTTTGAAAATCACACACACTCGCAAATTAGGAGATAAAAAAAATCGATGTACATACATCCGGAAAGTCTGACGAGGAAATTGCTGACAAAAGTGGAAGAAATTTTCCCTTTCTTCATCGACGAATTTATATTTTGACACAAACGCAGTTCAAATGATCGTGACGGTCTCGTTATCGTTATGCGGCATGCTGAATGCTAGATTAAAAAAGTTATTAACCTCTTGGCTGCTTTTTAGAACTATGTATGTACATTGTGTCGCTACTCGTTAAACAGAGTATGTACAGCTTCTGTGAAATTGAATTAAATTACAAGAAAATAACACTAGTTTCTTTTCTCTTGAAAAATCAATAATTTTATTGTTTATTAATTAATTAATAACAATTAATATTAATAGCAAAAAGAAAAAAAATTTAGAAATGGTGTAAAAAGAACTAGTCAAGTCTCCAAAATAGTCTAAAATTTGCAGATATGTTTCATCCTCCACGAAAAACGTTTAACTTAAGCAACAAATCGTAATTACTTTCCTCGTCATTCACAGCTAAGAGGTTAACGATCGCAAACGCTGATGGAGGATCTGCTTGTACGGGATAGAAAAATGCGTTCTGTTTCTTTAACAGGCAACAGTTTGCACGTAAACGCGCTGTTGCAAGGCAAACGAAAAGGTAAACGCGGAATCGAGCGTATGTAGGGCTAAGGGTATAGTGGGATAGTAGTGGCACTCCGAGTTTGGTCAGACAAGCAGCGTTAAATCCACGTTCACCGGTTAGTCCAAGTTCTCCCGATGGTCTGCCACGGATGGCGGAGTCGATTCCCGGAGACTTTCTAACGAAAGTGCAAGTCTTTTCTTCTAACCGGCTACCGCACCGCGCAACCGTCCTCGACGCGACTTTCGCGCGTTTTCCGCGGTTTCCACGCCGAGGACGAAGACGTCCAACGCTTCCGGGGCTTGTGAGTCACTCTCGTAAGAAATATCTCGTCGATCTCTTCAATTAAAAATAAAATAAAAAAAATAAAAAGAAAAATATAACGATCCTTTTAATTGGCTCGCGTTCCTTTTCGCGTGACGTATCGTTCGTGGATATCGCTCGGTTGAATACGTAATTATTGAACGTAATTATTGAAAATGTTAAAAAAAAAAAAAGGAAGAAGAAGAAGAAGACTGTCGGTTACGTGTTGCACTGTGTGCATCGCGGAGAATCGAAAATAAAGGCAGGATATGATATTTAGGAAGCGGCGTTACCTCACAGGCAAGACATTTCTAACGTTTTTCTGAATGTAACGAAGAACCCGCCTGCGGCGTACAGTCAAGGCCTCAGTTCTCGTCGACTTTGCCGTGACATAAATATTCGGGGGCCTTTCGTGGGCCCACGGTTGATTCCTCGTGGCGAGGGACCTGAACTTGCGAAGTCGTGCGAAAGAAAGAGAGAAAAAGGAAGACGGAGACAGATAGAGAGTTCTTTGGTAAAAACGCGACGCGAAGGAACCTTGCTTGCAATCGTCTTCGCCGGGAACGAACGACCCTGAGTAGGAACTCAAAGATCAAGCCATCATCATCCTTGGACTTCTTCTCTCGACTATTTTCGAAGTGCTAAACAATTCCATTCAACGCGACGAATCGCCATCGCGCAAGCGTTCGCCAATGCATAATAATAACACAAATGAAGAATATAATTAAAAGTATCCTTCACGCTTCTTTTATCTACACACACGTATTCTTACACATACGTGTACAGATGTTACATACGCCGTCCGTAAGCAGAGAAAACGCTTTGTCGAATCGGTCAACGGTGAATTTCTGCGCTTCGGGTTGCACGCGTGTGCGTGCACAAAGGAAAGAAAAGAGCGCGTTTGATCGGTTCGTTCTGGTTTGCTCCCAACTCCCAGTGACATTCAAAGCTGACGCATAAAGAATCGCGCGCGTTCCGATAGCGAGGTTCGCGCACGCATTAAAGCATCGCACGGCTAATCCGCCGCGCACGTCCGCGCTGTGGCTCGACTCGTCATCGGCGTGCGTTTCGTACTAGACTCTAATAAACTTTCACTGGCCTCTCGCGAGTTCTCCCTCTCTCTCTCTCTCTCTCTCTCTCTCTTTTTGCCCGCTTGTGCGCTCGGCTTCCAAGCTCATAAATTCGGTAACCTCTGCGGGTACCGCCTCCTCGTGTCCCCGTCCTTGCCCGATCGTTGCATGAAACCACGGAGACACTCTCGCAATGAGTTCTACTAATATATAAAATAAATGTCTCCCACTTCCTCGTATCCTCTTTCTCCGCGCTCTCACGCGTGGGACGTTGCCCCATTAGCGAAGCAGATACAAGTACTTGCGAGAACGTAGCCAATTTAACGAAGTTAAAAAAAAAAAAAAAGAGGGAAGAGCAAAAAATCCTTTCTCCCTCGCGTACGGAGCTTCTCCAAGACGGCCAAACCTCACGCGTGTTTGCGCAAAACGAACAGGCGCGCTGCCGTTCCCGATCACTCTCGCTTTTCACCTGGCCGATTGACAAAGATCCCACCGATCGTGGACGAACGATCTAATCCGCGATGCGCGGTTAGATCGATCTACGTTCGGGATCGTGCGCGCGTGTAACGCAGCATTGTTCGCGCCATCGTTCCAAGGTGATTCGCGTATACGCTTCCTAAATTTCATCGTCGGCCGACGATGTTTGAAATCACTGGCGTTTGCGCGGCGTTCAGGAGAAAGTTGAAACGGTCGAAGAACTATGACGTTCCCCTGCTGCTTCCGTATCTGCGGCGCGAGCCACCGTTCCACTCGGAAACGAATACATACGAAAATCACGAATAAAGGAATCGCTCATCGAACGAACTGGAATTGAAGTTGATCGTTGATTGCGAGCGTACTCTCACTTTTTACCTTCTTCTCTCGGAAGGAGAAAAACTCGCCAACACGCGCGGCCCCACCTCCGATTGGTTTGCAACGATTCGCTTGGTCCAAGACCGGTGTTAACGTACGATTAGTGGGCCAGTGTCAGTCAACGACATCGTTCTGACGGTTAACCGGCGGATTTAAAGCCAAGGAAGGAGGCTGAATGCCGCGCACGGTGAACCGCACGCACCCGGGGGCCACTGGCCAATATTCGGGCCAATGTTAACGTTGGCCTCTATGTCGATTGCCTAACAGCGACTCGCGTCACAACAGAACCTGATAATGAGAATGACGAGAAGGAACTTTCGTACACGAAACGCGTTACTCAACCTTCTGCGTAACGACCTCTCGCAGAGACGCGTAAATACGCGGCCTTATCGACTGAGATTGAAGTTTCCATCAGGAACGTCGAAGTAAAAAAAACAAAAATTCTTTATAACAGTGCAGAATGCAACAACTTCTTTTTTATTTGATTTACGAAAACTTTATATATTTTACGAAAATTCGAGACGCTTGAGTTTGAGGCGGATAACATGTGTCGAAGTAGACGAAGTATAGTGAAACATAACGAGATGAAACGAAAATGGTACGATTCCGATAGATGATCGAAGGTCGTGATAAGTGGACTGTATGATTGCAAAGGATTTGCAATTGGATATCGTTTCTCGCACTTGATTGTCGCCCTGAAATTTTATCGCTGATGAGCCTGCTTTATAGAAATATCACGGCAAGTGCTGGCCAATCGCTTTGAAGTTCCGAGCTGTTTGATCGCCCTAAATGTAATTCCTCCAAAAACGGTGAAATTAAACATCGACGGGATGATCGATGCCAATCTGAACATAACAGAAACATAACAACCGCGTTACAGAGCATTAAGATTACCGGTTACTCAAACGTATCTAAATAGGATAATAAATTCCTCTGTGTGGACAAAATGATCCAAACAATTAGAATTGTTGAAAATGGCCCGTATTTTACATCTACAAAATTTCTGTGAAAAAATTATAAATTGGTCATTCCGATCATTTTGATAGTTCTATTTTGATTCGATCGAATCTCGAATTCGCGTTATCATTCATCGACGAGAGAGAAAACTCGAAGCCACTACTCGTCAGTTTACAAAGAAGCGAACTTTCGATCCAATGACTTCCCCGTATAAAAAAAATGGCAATCAAGTGGCACACGCTCAGATTCAATTTAAGCGGACTGCCGTTTCGCTGGCGGAAGAGGACGAACGGCTGGTAGTGCTGCTTGGCATTCGGAAGCCATTATCAACGTTAATCGTACCGGCGTCGCGGCGAGACTTTCAAAATCTCGTTCTTGGCACTCGATCTACCTGCTCAATGGCTCGTAACCACGGTCCTTGGAATTCACGCGTGTCATTGTGCTTTCACAGAGGCGACTTTAGTCGATTCACGTCTAGTTCTGTGCGACGTGTGTATTTTGTCCCCCTGAACGATATCCTTTTTTGCAACAGAATTTTTCTCAATAATCCTTTCAGAAAAAACGTACGGCTATGAAAACACGATTGCAGATTCTCTCGGAAAATACGCTCGCGGACAAGAGTGGCTCTCGCGTTCGTTCGCTCTTAATGTCCGTGCCTGGTGACCCGTGGTGCAAACTAAACCCGCTGGAGAAAGTTGCCAGATACTTTCTCGTAGCTCCGCTGCCTCCTTGCACGTTGGCCGATGCAGTCGCTCAAACGGTCTCTCCCCCTCCGTATCGATTCGATCGTTTCGAACCAAACGCTCCAAGCTCGAGATGCTTACAGGTTTAAACGAATAAAAAAAAAAAAAAAAAAAATGAGAGGAAGAGAAACGAGAGACACGCGATAGAAACTCTTCGTAAAATAAGAGTGAAATAAGCTCGAGTCTATCGATTCGAGAGAAAAGCAAAAAAAAACAAGTCGCACAGTATCGCTTATTGAGATAATTCGCGTGTCTTCGATGAAAAATTGTTTATCTGTCTAGTAAGTTTCATTCGGTGAAATATAAAATTTCTTTTCGAACGATTGGGAAATTCCACTGGTGCTTGAATTGCAAATTCTCCTAAGGTTATCGTCAAGAGACGAAGAGAAAGAGAAAGAGAGAGAGAGAGAGCTGACTGGTTCTCGTTGGAAGAGAACGCTACCAGTAATATCGAGAATGAATAGCGCGGATGCGCGGCAAGAATGGATCAAGAGGACTGGCAAAAATATCGAACCATTCTTGGCCAGTCTTACGAGCTTGCGGCATTCAGCCGACTTCGCGGACCAGCGACTTGATTTACTCGTCCGAGGGAACGAACTCGCCCGCGCTTACATATACTCTTCAGAAAGGCATAACCGTGGCTCTATGTATAACCGAGCTATTATACTCGCAGGTATACTCGTCGTGCGCATAGTCGTCGGAGGAAAATCTTGGTCCACCTACGCCCGTTCGTTAACTATTTATGCGCGTACCGTATAGCCCGCGGTCGGCCGTGATGAATTGGAAGTTACACGTGCTGCAAAAAATGATTTAGCCAGCCGCCATAAGCGCGATAAGTCATCCGTTTCGACCGTTTCTCATCGACGACGAAACACGCGCTGCTTTAACGATAATTGAGGAATAGCAATTGATTCATTCCGCGTTCGCGTTCATTGTCCACCTTACACCTTCTACTCGTCTCTTAACCGCTATCAAAATAGTCAGAAGGAACAATTTTTGCTAGTCATTTCATAGACGTAGAAACAGTGTTAACATTTTTAAAGAATAAATAATTTTTAAATAATTTTAAATAATTTAAAACTTATACATATTTAAATTTTAAATATATTTAAATTTTATACATTTGAATTTTAAATATTTTAAAATTTAAATAATATTTCATAAGATATGCGAATGAAAGCTTATATACTCCACTGTTATTTTTGTTTTCAATGTCTCTGATTTCGCGCTTTAAACGTTGGTAGTTCCAATGTTAATACTCGCGAACGACTTTATTAATCTCTTGCGCTGGAATGACGTGCCGCGCACGTCGAGAACTTTTTGTTCCAAAATTGCAATATTCTCTCAGTTCTAAATATATTTAAGTAAAACAAAATATGCAAAGACAAATAATAAATTGATTACTTTTCAATAATTTCTATCCAGTGATACCGTACCGACGAATTCAAAAAGAAAGCGACGAATTATTGTGTACGATTCGGTCGCTCGTTATGGTCCGCATTCAGTTGCCAGCGCAAGTGGTTAACCTCTCCTGCCACGTCGAGAATTTTCTTTTTTTTTTTTGTCCCAAAATTGCAATATTTCCTCAGTACCAAGTATATTTAAGTAAAACAAAGTATGCAAAGGCAAATAATAAATTTATTACTCCTCGATAATTTCTATCCAGTGATATCGTGACGACGAGTACGATAGAAAAAGAAAGCGACGAATTATTGTGTACGATTCGGTCGCTCGTTATGGTCCGCATTCAGTTGCCAGCGCAAGTGGTCAACCTCTCCTGCCACGTCGAGAATTTTCTTTTTTTTCTTTTGTCCCAAAATTGCAATATTTCCTCAGTACCAAGTATATTTAAGTAAAACAAAGTATGCAAAGGCAAATAATAAATTTATTACTCCTCGATAATTTCTATCCAGTGATGTCGTGGCGACGAGTACGATAGAAAAAGAAAGCGACGAATTATTGTGTACGGTTCGGTCGCTCGTTATGGTCCGCGCAACCAGTTGCCAGCGCAAGGGGTTAAAAGGCGTCGAAGTTGCGCCGCGAACGCGGAAGAAAGTTGGACGGGCGAGAGGAGAAAAACGGAGGGCAATTGCTCGGCGCTAAACACGATCGCGTTTGGAACGGCCAAATCGAAAAGAAGCCCCGAAGAGGGGAAATATTTTCGCGGATGCGTCTTGGAAGAATGCAACCAACCGTGACGTAGCTTTCGTGCTGCGAACCCTGTGTGACGTCACTCATTCGATGACGTGTGGTCAACCGCGGTCAATGCACCAGGCCGACGTTTCTTGCAGGGCACTATAATGCTCGGTTCACTGGCGTCGCGCTTGTGTGCGTTTGTTCACGTACATAGGCTGCACCGCGGTGCATGTACGCGCGTTACACCGCAAAATACCGGGTGTTCGTAAAATCTTTTCTCTCTCTCTCTCCCTCTCTCTCTCTCTCTCTCTTTCTTCGTCAAAAGAAACGATTGTTACATATACTTTCATACTTTTATGTATCGACTGATGCCTGACGTATTTTTCGCTCGTACGATTTACGAGGCGAAGAAGCGATCGCGAGCATTGAGTTTTAAAAATTCATACGCGACGGCGGTCGGTGTTTTGCTTGAAATTCCTGCAGCGTGCCACGCTTACGCCGGCATCAAAAATTCATGCGCTGTCGTTGACGCTGCTACCCTATATCCCCTGTTTAATGAAGGTGCGCTTCGACGTTTGTTCCTTTCGCGCCCATCCTCGATCAGACGAACAACTTTCGACTAGAGAGATTCTTTTTTTTTTTTTCTTTCCTCCGCAATAGACAATGGCCTAATTACGCGCGAGGTTTTTTTTTTCCCCCCATTCTTCAGTCTCATTGCCGACTAATCGTTCAGCATCGGTGACAAAAATGCGCACCCACGTGCGACGCCCACGTTCAAGCGATGCTCCGCGAATGCAGATCGAATGCAGTAGTAGGTGACGCGAGTTATCGGGCGAGTAGAATGGTCCGCGACGTAGCCGGCCAAGTTCCGATAATCGATGATCGTGCGCGCGTGTACCGGACACGGGAATTGTTTACAGAGCAAGGAGAAGGTGAAGGAAAATCGCAATGCGTCGTGCAACGTGCGAGAGACAGTGAACGTTCAGGTGGTTCGAGAGTAAAGGAAAATAAAGAGAAGTCGTACGTTATAAAGTGAAGAAAAAAGAAGAGAGAGTCATTTGGCCGAAGAATTCGACGGAACAAATCTCGATTACACAAGACCGCGAACAGTTTTACTCTCAACAAACGCGAACCGTCTTCAAATAAGGCACGAGATGACCTTCTCTCGTTTGACCGTATCTTATCGAGATTCGTGGAATTTCGTGCGAGAACGACGCCTCGTCTCGTTTCGAAAAAAATCGTGTAATGGCGTGTCTAGAAAGCATGTAGCGAAAGGAGGTGTAACGTCCGTTGCATAAGAGCAAAAAAACCATTGTGGACTATCAATCCTCGACAATCCTCACCGCCGCTACTAACATATCTCCATCGTTACCAAAGAAATCGATTCGACAACCGGGCCTTTTTAATTTTCAAAAAAAAAAAAAAAAAAAAAAAGTCTGATCGACGCACGAATGAAACAATTCTCTGTTCTTTGCTCTATTTGCTAGGGACTACGAACTAAAAAAGAAAAAAGGAAAAAAGAAAAGAAACGTACAAACACTGCCGTTCACAAGTCACCGGACACTTGCTTATTTTGATCTAAACAGTTACTAAAACACGGATATACTTTTCCGGATTAATTTTATTATACAATCGTATTATATGTACTCTACTTACTCTATTTTATAATAATACTTGAAAACAAAGCTGATATTTACTGTACATGGTCTGAATAAATATTTCAAGGTATATCAAAAATATGTATATATAATTAAAAAAATCGAATCGACGTATTCTCGGGATGAATTGGACAGAAGCCTTCAGAAATGTGTCCAAAATCAAGAAAAGGACTCATGGAGAAAATTAGAAGAAGCGTGTAAAGAAATTCATTCCGAAATATTGTTAAAATTAAACGTGGAAGTATGCCACGGTTATTTTCTGGCCTTCATATTTCCACAAAGATACATAAGATACATTATATACAATTTGGTAAGATTTTTGACATATAAACAGTTTGACATATTCTATATTCATCCCAGAATACATCGATTCGATTTTTTAATTATATACGCACATTTTTGATATACTTTGAAATATCCATATACGTTAAATATCAGCTTTGTTTCCAAGTATTATTATAAAATAGAGTACATGTAACAAGATTGTACGATAAAATTAATCCGGGAAAGTACATCTGTGTTCTGGCAACTGTTTAGATCAAAATAAGCAAGTGTCCGGTGACTTATGAACGGGGGGGTGGTGTACAGCGATCGGAAGAGAAATTTACCGAAATTCACGGAAGATGTGCCGATTCAGCGCAGAACGCACGGAAGCTGCGTCAGCAAATAGGAAACGTGAAGGAAGACGCGATCCACGAGGAAAGAAAGTCGAAAGGGAAAAAAGAGACGAGGAAACTCGGCCGTGCTCCTCGTTTCCCTCCCTTTTGTCGCGCGAGAAGACGAGTGCTTTTTCGTGAAATTCGTCCGAGAGAATCTCGCAGGAGAGACGGCAAGGGAGAGACGTGACTTTAGCCATAAGCCGTAGGTAGGCCGCACAGAGCATGGACAAGCAAGTCGAGTTGAGAGGCGCGGACGGGCGGTCAGAGACCCCGCAGGGCCGGCGCAAACAGTACAGCATTACCCACTCGCTCGTTCTATCGCAACCTGGACCCAACAATGCTCAATAATCGTCCCTGTGATCGCGCGCCACCTTTTAACCGGCAACCTGGAAAAATCGTCTGCTCTTTTTCCAGGCAGTTTTGCCCCCTTTTTCTTTTTTCTTTTTTTCTTCCTTTTTTTTTCCTTTTTTTTTTTTTTTTTTTTTTTTTTTTTTTTTTTTTTTTTCTTTT